AGCTACGAAAAGGGACTGTGAACTGAACAACAAGCGTCAGTATCATTCATTTAGAGCCTAAATGGCAGCGAAAGCAAATGTGAAGGCTACTAAGTGATTGCAAAGGAATATGGCATACAAGGAGGAATGAGCTGCTAAAAGCAAAGCTGTTTTTTTACTTATTTTTTTCTCTCTTGCCTAACCAAATGCATGCAGGCAGTTTTAATATCCAAGGGGATAAGCCAGTTTCATGGTTCTCCGAACCCCAGCTCAAGGACTTTGGGTACTTGGGTTGGGGACAGCAGAATCTGAACTAAAGGATGAGCATTCAGTCCTGTTATTACCGTTATTACCACTTCTTAAACACGCAAACCTCACAACAACCAGGATGCTTTGGAACTGTGTTCCTGGTTATTTGAATCCCATGCACAAAAACCGACCGAGCAGGTTTTTACTCAGGCTGTTTCAGTGGCAAACCACTCATACTGCTGCAACTTGACTGATAAAAGCAGGAATTTAAATCTGATCCCCTCTCCCTCCAAAAAGGTATCAATTTTTCTGCAAAGAAGAAGAAATATTTAGCGTCAATCAAAAACCAAGAGAAACTAGAAAGTCCTGCTGTAATGTTACTATTTAAAAAAAAAATGCGTAGACCGTAACATTGACTTCATTTAAAGAGCTAAGAAGGAAGCAAGAAAACCTTTTTCTTTTTTATATAGGATGCCGCGGCCACCTTTCAAAGAGGCAGACAACGAGCACTACCACTAAGCCACAGAGCTTTGGTATTTTGCTCTTACTGTATACCAGCAACAAATCAGTTCTGGTTAGGACAGAAGAAAAAAAGAGAAGCAGCTTCCAGGGAGCTCCGAGGTCTTCTACGGGAAGGCCGCAGATGGTGCCGCTTCTACCATGTTAACTCCATTCAAGGCTGTGCTTCCTGGTTGGGGTTAGCCATCAAAGAGAAAAGTCATTCTGTAAATTCACTCTCTACTTGCAGAGATCTGCTAAAATCATGCACGTCCTGCTCATGCGCTGGAGGGAGTACTACAGTGCAAAATAAAAGGGCGCAATAAGAGCATGTAACACAATAATTCTGTTAATCCTTGAGCACATACCTAACTTTCAGCATAGGAGTAGTCTCAATTATTTCAACGAGAATATTCCTGTAAGCAGTGTCAGGCAGAAATGTTTGCAGAACTGAAGCCTCCACTTCGTGATGTATTCAAACAGCTTCACAAAAGATGTCAGTTTGCCTCATCAGATGTAAAAAGCTGTTATCCCCCCCGCCAAGACATGAAAGCGTTAAAATGTTAAAGAAATAATTGCAGCTAGGCATTATACTCTTTAGATAGATACTTTGCTATAACCTTAATTATTTAATACGCTCTTTCATTGAAATATTATTTGCCTGGCTTAGGGTGCTCCTTTTAAGTGAAGTTCTTTCTCCTCCTATTTCTCAGATGATATCTTTGTACCTGTTTTTAATACTACATTTACACAGGTCTTGTCTATGCCACTGTCTTGTTTTTAAGACTGGTTATCTCTTTTGGATATGCTGTATATGGGGTTATAAATTATGCCATAGTGTTTCAGGTTTATTTAGTTTTAATCGCTGAAAGTCAGGGTTTTAAACTCATCAATACTTACAAGAAAACTTGACCACAGGTTATTTAAAGGCAGATGTATATTTGCCTCCTATCATGACTGTTCATTGTGCTCTTAATTAATCGTAACAAAAACTAAGTATCTCTGCAATTACTCAGTTAAACTCATCGGCAGACATTTATCATCGGAAACAAATGGATTTCACTGAAACATTTAACTACTGTTACATTACATAGTTTTATACGTTTTATTATATGTGTTTGTTTTTCTGACAACGTGATCATCTATAATCACTCTCTATAGTAATCTATTCCTCTATGGGGAAAATACTGAACTCCTGAATGACTTCTATCACTGCAAATCATTTCATTTTTCTCCATTAATCCCTAATTTGTTAAACTGTTCGGCAGTAGGGTCAAATAAAACATCAGTACCTCCCTGTTTCATGTCTCCTAATTTGGCCACGGCCAAAGTCTAATCTGCTACGCAATTAATTTTTTGTTTTTGTGAAGAATTTTTTCCAGTAAAAAAAGAAATACACAATGAAATCCATGGAAATCCAGGGAAAATAAAGACTACAGAAAGGGCCAGTAGTTTTACGGCTGAAAATAATTCTGTCGCAACAGATCATGATAATCAGATCACAATTCCTGTAGATTATAATCCTACATCCATTTTTAAGCACCACAGTAACACTGCCCATTTAAAAAACGGTCAATATATGAATACAAAAGATGGGGACAGCAGTAAAGCCTAGCAAAAAAATTAATGACCACCAGCATCAGTGAGCAAAATGTCACTTTTCTCTTTTGCAATTCTTATTTTGTAAACCCCTGTGGATTCGGAAAAGAGAAACTTATGGAAA